TTGATTACGGTTTCATGCATACACATTTCATCATTGCATAAACAACATGTTTCTGGCCATTTTTACACCGAAAATCACTTAATAATCATTAAGATTTAAGCACCAATTTATAATTATAAAACTAGGGTTCGAGTTCATCAATATTCTTAAAGAAACTTCAAAAAAATTGATTATTAAAATGATAATGAAATCAAAATCCAAGAATACCAAAACTTCTTAATAACTAAATATCTTACAAAACCATATCAACAATTTAGAGAATGATTTGAGATTTCTACATCAAATCGGAACTTAAATATATTTTGCGACCCATCACTTTTGAACATTGATTTCTACTCAATTTCACGAATTTAGATCCATTTTTTTTTCATGGTGTTGGTTCGGGGTAGTGAAGATTATAACATACTGATGAAATATGAAAGTTTGTATTTGTATCCCCAGGAGTGGATCTATAAAGGGGTCCCATGCAGCTGCTGAATCGATTTCCGCAAGTAATTTTTTTGGGGTATGAAAGTTTTTCCTACTAAACTTTGAAGGGTGCTCGGGACATCTAGGGGTAAAGCACTGTTTCGATTTGGTACCGCGTTAAAAAAAAATACAAGGAACATCAACAAAAAAACCCGAAAAGTCACTTGAAATCAACCAAAAAACCCGAAAAAGTCTCTTGAAATCAACCAAACAACTTAAAAAGATCCCTCGAAATGGTGTAATTTAACCAAAAACACATCAGATGACGACTTTGCAGGCCTATGATCCACCTTAAGAATGCGTTTGGTACAGAGGACATGATGGAACAAGACATAAAAGAACTTGTTGTCCCATGTTTGAGCGACTTAGGACTGGAAAAAAACTATCCCACGTCCGGCGCGACATGAGACAAGGGTAAGGACTAGGACCGGGTGGGACAAAAAGGGATTTTTTTTGTTAAAAGGGATTTTTTTTGTTCTACCTATTTTGGGACAAGAATAAGACAAACTAATAAAATTACTAATCTACCCTCATTTGATATAATCATAATATGATATTTGTTTTAATGGTCATCACGACCCATCGTTGCCGCCACCACCACTACCGGCCACCGTCGACTACTACAACCTCATCCACAATCACCATAACCACCACCATCCGCTACAACTACCACTACCACTACCACTACCTCTACCTTCAACAAATCGGGTACAACAACCTCATCGACCATTATCAAGCACCACCACCATTATTGTCCATCCTCTTCACATCCTCCATAGTCTCCGTCATCCATCAGGCACCACCATATCTACCTTCACCACCATTGTCGCTGCAACAACCTCCACGCCGCCCTTTGTTTACCATCTTTACATCCTCCACAGTCACCATTGGCTACCACCCGCCACCACATCTACCTTTACCATATCTGCCACAACTACATACTCTACCACTACCACTATCCACCCTCCTCATCCTCCACAGCCGTCGTCGTCCATGTTCATCCACCTTCTCTACCCTCACCACCATTGTCGGTGTAATAACCTCCACCACACCTCCACTAGTTCATAGTTCATAAGGATCTTACAAATCCGAATAGAACATAGTTTTTCTTTTGTACGAATCATGTTTTTACGAACTACCATCAATTATATCAAAATTTTCATTCAAATTTGGTACGATTATATATATAAGTATTTATGTTATATTGTGTAAAATTGTTATAAATTAAAATATTAAAATATTTACTTGATTTGCGTCATTATAACTATTATATGACATAAAAATCATCAAATAATTTTTTAGGCCAACTTGTCTTGTCTAGTCCAGTCTTATCCATCCCTAGCCGTACCAACCACTAGACAAACAACTTGTCATGTCCAGTCTTGCTTCATTCCATTCTCTTTGCTATACTCAACTTAAATCACCTATGAACTCACCCATTTGGCTCCCTTGCGCTATTGTCAATCCAATCATATATGTGTATCAAATGCTACCTAAAGATGTATACGCTCGAAAAAAAATCCTTGCCACTGTATATCTCCATATGTAAGCCATTTCTTACCTCAATGAAAGCCACGACTCAAGAATTTCTCAAAAATCAAACCGTAAATATAGATTTGTGTAGGTACAAAACATGCCCTTAAAGATTGGTACTTATTTCAATGACTATAACCAAGTTTCTACAAGTTAGAATTATAGGACACTATCTGAAAATATGTCGTATAAAAAGATGAGCTTATACATTTCTCAAAGCGGTCCTAAAACATAGCTAATATGATACTTTTTTAAGAGCGTCTTAAAAACATGTTAAAACACCAAAAAACGCCCTATAAACCTATTGTAACGTTTTTAGATAAGACGCTTTATAGTTTAATCCTATCAACTTAAGTCTTATAAAATATTCTATTAGAACATTTAGATTTCTTAAGCTCAATATAAACCTAACGTTGTTGTAGTGCTAATATCCTGAATCTCAAGAGCAACAAGTTTTGGGAACTGGAAACCCCCCCCCCCTCCCAAATGTTGTGATTTCCTTCCCAAATTCTAACCCAAACTCACCATGTATACTTATAGCTACAATTGGCAACCGATGATGACAAGTGCCATCACCTTCATTTATCTTCTCGGCCATTAAAATGGATTATGTGTAAGATTCTTGATCTTTGTTATACCTTTTACTGAGTCAGATTCTTGGTCCTTGCTGGTAAAGGTAATTGACACCTGGTAAATAAGAGTTTTGGTAAACAACCAATGAATCCTCTGTCCACTATAAGAATAGGTGTTAAGAGGAAATGTGAGCTGCTATTGGTAGAGCTTGTAAAAGACATCATGTATCTGTTGGAAATTCGAGTGGCTGAAGCTAAAACAGCTACTTTCGAAGTAACAAAAGGAAAAGCAACGACTAGAGTGGGAGAGTTAGAGTCAAAAAGAGGATTCCTCACTTCTTTCCCTCACGAAGTCAAACTTAAGCCTTATAGGGCTGGTTTGCAAAATGGGAGCCATGTCCATTTTGCTTTAATGACTTTGTATCAAAATCATATTTTATTCATAAAAAATCCGTTTCACATGTGCCTCTAATTTTAGTTCAAACTTTAAAAAATTGGCTAAAAGATGAAATAGTTCATCTGAAATGGCTAATTTTTTGGTTAATTTTCCTAAATGGTTTTTAGAAACCCATTTTACATTTCCCCAAACAAATTAAGAGACTGTTCGATTGGTTTTTCATTAAGTCTTATATGAATAAAGTTGACAGTATACATAAAGTTTTCTATATTGATTTATCTAAATATTTGGTTGATTTTTGTGCTGAATAAATCATTTGAATAATGAAAATGATTATTTTATCCTTTAATTTAAACAAACACTTTTTTGCATCCAACAAATCAAGAACCCATCCAATGAACAACAAACACATTTTTGTGATCAATTTATTTAGAGCAACTTTTTTTTACCACTTTTTGTAAAGCAATACATCAAACAAATAATAAACAAGAAGCAAATATGGAAACAAGATTATGAACAACAAGCAAATTTATGGAGATCAAACTTCTTTACGTAACAAAAAAAACATCATTAACCAAACCAAAACCCATGAACAAATGAAACCTAGAAATTTCAGATGGGGAGGAGGAAACAGTTGAAACATCAAAAAGAAGAGACTTACAAATTTGAACAAATGAACAACAAAGTAGAGGAGGAGGAAACAGCAGGAGGCAAGGAAACAAGGAATTCCAGAAACTCAATTTCATAATCACCAGAGGAAGTAAGGAACTTTCAGAAACTAGATTTCATAAACAGCAATGAGAAACAGATCAAAACCTAGAAAATGTCTCAATCCGTAGTTCTTCTCCATTTCCGACAAGGAGGCGAGGCAACAAGGAGAACACCAAAGGGAGGAGGAAAAAGCACCGGAGGCGGCGCCATACTTGAAAGCTAGACTGAAAGCTTGAACGAGGGTTTTGATTTTTTTTTAGGCTGGAGGTGTGTTCCATGGAAGGGTATATAGGTAAATAGTTTGGGCTGGATGTAAACAAGTGCTCTTCTCAAGCTGAGCAAATAATCTCTTTTTTTCTAGATTAAGCCACTACCGAACAACTACTTATGACTGACTGAATAAGCTATATGGGTTATACAGGCCATTAAGCCAATACCGAACAGCCCTAAGCAAGTTTTGGAAACCTACCCAAAATTAAGGGGTTGTTTATCAAACACTTACCCGGATAAGTGCTTACCAAGTCACATTCCCTTACCGGATGTATATGGCAAGGACCGAGAGTCTTACCCAGTAAGAGAGGGCGACGATTCTTACCACAATTAGCACTACCGGGTAAATTGTTGCATATGATACCATTTTGATAGACTAAAATCTTACTGGATGAGTACATGATGGTATTAAATTTTGTCGGTAAACACTTACCCAAATAAGCGTTTGGTAAACTGCCCTAACACCTTTTTAATTAAAAATGAATTACCCTTTATTTTTAAAACTAAATCATCTTAAATATAACTGATACTTTAATTAAACAAATTTTATGATAAAATGAGCATTTAATCTGATACACACCAATATTATTTTTCCTACTTTTTAACTAGTTTATACATAATGTCATAAACTGATGTACCAATTCATTACGAATATTCATGTATGTTCACATGTATACTACAATCTCCACAAAGTATAAGATATTAAGATGCCTTTCTCACCATCTCAAAACGACACAAAACCGTAAAAATATAATCTATAAAGGCACACATGATAGAAATGTGAAAAAAGGATTAAGGTTTTACATTCTCAACAAAAGGATCAAAATTGCACCTCGTTGCATTGCACGAACACAGTTTTGGTCCATAAAAACGGTTAATATATGTTGAGCTAGTATCTATATCAATCAATTACTCAGGAGGTGTTTGGTTAGAGATATTAATCAGTAGTAACCAATGGCATTGAAAATAAATAAATTGTTTGATTTTATATAATGTAACGGTTCCATTCCCCACAAACCCAAATTTTCATTACAGGATAAACCAAGGGGAGTGAAAATTCCTTTCATTCTCATTCTCATTCTCATTCTCATGCGTGAACCAAACAACCGTTTAGAAATTAGTAGATCTTGCAAGTTTAAGATGAGATAATGGTATACATGAGCGGTAAGTTAAGAAAGCAATCAGACAGAATTTGGAATATTAAAACACACTTACAAAGGAACTTTAGATATATGCCATTGAGAAAGAAATCAACTTCAATCAAGTTTCCCGTTAGAGTCTGCTGGCAATGCCTTATGAGCAAGATCAGCAGCCGTAGGGTTATTATGCTCTCCTGTAACCTGTTATATTTAAAACACTTAGGAATTCACACAAAATGAAAAACTATTAACGGTGGCTTCATGAATCATCAAAGTATGCTTATCCACAAATACAATATACATACATACATACATATATATATATATATATATATATATATATATATATATATATATATACAGAGAGAGAGAGAGAGGGAGGATCCTTCTTTTGTTAACCAAAGAAATAGTACTGACTTTGTAAAACGAATCTCATCCATTAAAATTTCTAATCGACGGATGTAATTCATTTAATAGAAAATTTGTAAATTTTCAACAATGGCATGTGCTCGTTGCAAAAAAACATAGGTGAACAAAGGCAAACTAATAAATTATACCAGAAGCCGGTTTAGGAAAATTAACTTCCCTAATTAATGAGGAAAGTTAATAAACTTCCCAAAAAATAGTAAATTCAACAGTATACAAATGTTCACTTATGTTAAAGTAGCAGATTTCAGTGATTCACGGATCAACAGTTGGATAAAACAATTGCATAATTCACTTATGAACATTTAAGGCATTCATTTGTGAAAACATAACATTGTTGGATTTCACTTGTGAACAAATAGGGTTCCTCTCCACAAGATTTATCCTATGAATAAATGTTATTCCATTGGTGAACAATATTTACTTAACTTGTGACAATAGCTAGAGTTGATGAACGAAAATTATAGTTCATTTATGAACACATGTTATCCCCTCGACCTATGAACTTGATAGAGTTAGATTTTAACCAACCGAAATATCCCCTTGATAATTCAAATTATTCAAACCCAATCACATAAATAAGTATTCTCCCTAAAAATAGGGATATGAATATGTAACCGACTAAAAATATATAAAGGAATTTAAAAAAAAAAACTACCCATACTAATTAAATTAAGCGAATTATGAAACCAAAAACAACCAAGACATTTGATTGAGTTTTCTTAGTTAACACTATTTAAGTGGTTGACAAATGATTGGGGCTCTATATATATATAGGCCATTTCAAATAAAACCACGGAAATCCTATAAACCGTGAAAACCAATCTCAATCGTTTGTGCATGTTATCGAATCGATGTGGATTAAATCAGTTCCGAAATCAACTCTCAAATCTTATCTGCAACTGAAAATGTCAAAATACAAAATCAAAGACCGAGATTTGTTCTTACGGTGCGTTACATTTACATTGTCAATATTTGAAATCTCCTCCCTCTCTCTCTCTCTCTCTATATATATAGGGAGAGGGATATACAGAGGGAGGTTCAAGCAAGGTCAAAATTAGAGAACATGATAACATCTATATTAAGTGTGATTTTAGACTAAAAAATCACATGTGATTCAGGTTTGGTCAAAATTTGAATTGGCCCGGTGACCTAAGATCATTGAGAAAATCTGAATCACATGTGGATTTTAGTTCAAAATCACATGTGATATAAGCGTTCTCACGTTCTCGTTTGAACCCAACCCCCTCTCTCTCTCCACAAGCAAGCGCGCACACACACACACACACACATATATATATAGCCCCCCCCCCCCCCCCGGGGGGGGGGGGGGGGGAAGTGGGGGACAAAAGCAACCAAAAACCAACCCAACCCAGTATGTCCTCCTCAGAGGGTGGGTTTGGGGGGATGTCCATTATATCTACATATTAAGATGCACCTAGATGTTATAACATTTGGTGATACCAATAATACAACAACAAACAAAGAACAATTATCCTTCAACACTAAATCTATCCGTTGGTTTCAAGGATGGCGTTGAAAGATCTTAATAACCTAATAATAGGATGACCCAAAGAGTTCAGAATTCAAATTTCCACATACAAAATGAAGGTTGCTATGTTGTAAAAAAGTTATATAGGTTGGTTATCTTAGAGAATATGCTTGCCTTCTTGCATTTCTATCGTTTACTGTAATTAACATATGTAGAAGAGAGCAAATGAAAGCTCAAGGGAACCAATGAATTGCGGGGTCAATTTTGCAAATTGAGATGGTAGACGAGATAATAACCACATATAATCAACCATCTGTTTACTAAACGTTATCATAAACATAAAAGGTCATCAGGGTTAGAACTTTAGATACATAAGAGTGACTCAAGAAAATGTTTCTATGGTATGCAATGGCTTTTAATAGATGCGGAAACCAGCATATATTCTTTTATAGGATGCACATGGGCTTTAAGAGAATGTTAAAAAGGGTCCAAGTTAAAAAAGAAAGTCACTTCAATGTGCCGATGATTAGAATGACCTTGGGTAGAAGATAATTCGCCTACCAATTCAGCCATAGCAACCCATGGCATGGTTTTAAAAATCGTTTGAGGCTTACGCCTTGAGGCGTGCCTCGAGGAGAGGCGGCCCAAAACTGCACCTGAGGCGGCGCCGCCTAATGGACCCTGGACGAGGCTTATGCCTTGGTTCAAATGAGGTGGTTCAATGAAGCATGAGGCATGAGGCAGTGTTGAGGTGTACGCCTCAGATGATCTGCTTTGGTAATGGTTTTTTTGGCTTTTTATAAGCTTTATGGCAGTAGTAGTACTTCTCTTTATAGTATGTCTTTCTTTAGAAAAAAACCCTAAAAGTCAAAGCCCGATGGCCCCAATGTGTACTTTTAATATTTTAAAACTCAAAAAGCTAGTACTTTCTGCTCTCAATCAAAAAGGGTGGTTTGACCCTTCCTCTTCCTCCAAGCAACCAATTTTTCCACACCCTCTCAGCCTATCTAATGGTTTCCTATTTCCTCTATCAAGAACCACTAAACCAACGCTTTTTAGTAATTTAGTATTATATATATATATATATATATATTGTATATGTATAATATTTGTGTAGTTTATATACATATTTGGTGTGTGTATATTTCCGCCTTGGAGCTTACGCCTCGCTCCATTGAGGGAAAACACCTCGAGGGTCGGTTCTGCTTTTTAAAACATCAACCCATACAACTTTAAATAGAACATGCACCAGAATGAACCCCCCCCCCCTCCCTTCACCTGCATTGCAGTTCAACTGGGACAAATATGGTGAATTGCCACCTAAATATAAGCCCACAACAGAAGGTTGCAACTTGGGACAAATATGGTGACTCGGATATTAGTCATTTACATTGCTCGTAAATGTTCACATAAAGAAAGCTTACAAATTCATGGACCTTAGAGCAATGAAACTAGTGTTACCCTTGAACAACTAAACTGTAGCATTGGAGGTGGCATAAAATTCCATTTTCACTTGCCCCAATTTCAAGTTGAAGAAATAGTGTATTCCTAACCCAAACCATACCAAACCCGTATATCCCACCTGCGGTAGGGTCCGGGGAGGATAAGAAGTATGCAGACCTGACCTCTACCCCTAAGGGGAAAGATGCCATTTCCGTGAAGACCTCCAACTTATGAAAAGTGTGATAAAGAGAGAAGGTGAGGAACAATAAATATTTGAAATGCTGGCTAAAAGGAAGTAAAAACATACAATTTACAAATAGAGGCAGGTAGAAGAAAAGCATAACCAATGCCTACCCCTCCTCCTCGCCCCCCTCAACTTATTCTTCCTATTTAAAAGCAGAATAAACCTTCAAAAGTAATTCTCAGTAAAAAACAATAGATTGATGAAAGAAAGTTGGATATACGGGTATAAGGAATACACACTTTCATCAATTTTGTCGCACATCACAATATTAGGCACCACTTACCACCATCTAGCTGATGTAAGAACTAAAATCTGAACTAATTTCTGCTTGTTCAAGATGACTAAAAATACTTCAGCTGCATCTCTAAATCATATGCCAATCTTTAACTAAAATTTCTTTTCACCTTGTATCTAGGACTTATAGTAATCCAAATCTCTTAGTTGGTTCCATCCATCATGCATTTTTCAAATATATCAACTATCAAGGCAGCAAGTATTGATTTGGAGACCAAGATCCCATTTGATATTACACTCAAGCAAGCTTTTTCACTATCAAAAAAACTCAGTGAAACTCAAATGAACCATGAACCAGTGAAGCCTACGGAGGACATTAGAAAACTATTCTGCAACTAGTACATAACTTGCCACTTAGCTGGGATGTTTGTTTTTTTTATTAAGATCTATCTGGAATAAGATGGCTCAATGTGTGGCAGCAAATTTGTGGTGGCTTATCCAAATCAACCATTCCCAGCTATTGCATAAAACTTAAGTCAAGTAAAAAACAAACACTGCTTGATGGCACAGAGAATAAGTCATTTAGCTGATCAAGAAAAAAGAAACAGGCCCTGAAATCATTGAAAAACTATTGTCTTTGAGCCTTCAAGTTGAACTTGAGAATGAAACCTTGAAGCCTTGACTAAAAACTGAGCGGAGTTTGCTTAGTTATCATATCACCATATCACCTCCCGATGAAAACCAAAATTATTAACGAAAGAGATCCAACTTGTGAAACCTCGTGAAACAAAAGCTGCCATGAACCCCTTGAAAAACTATCCCTTTAGATGAAACAAATCAAGAACCCCCTTGAAGACTATCATGCCTAAGATTAAACTACTCTCCACATTGGTAAAAGGCTTAAAAATCCCTCTTGGCCTTCCCCACTCAGTCGACACTGTGATACAATCCAAAAAAAATTAGCTAGCGAATTCAATGGTCCTAGTTTACTAGTTTCCAACTAAGATCATCCACAAACTCTATACCAATTCAACATATTCTAGCCTTTGGGGCTCCTAACATAGGTACTGGTTCGAATCCCTCCAAGTCCACTGTAGATTTTCCAGGCTGTTCCCTAGGAACCCATGGGATTAGTCAGAGGTGCACACAAACTGGCCCGAACATGGTTACCAAAAAAAGCATAACCCTTGAATTAAAACCTGTATGCATCTAAGTTTGATTTTCCCTTTAAATTACAACAAACACAAACATGTAGAAAGGCATGTGTGGGTTATCTGCGTTCTTACACTTTCATTGGTCTTGTTAGCAACAGGTTTATAAGGACATGCTGCTGGTGCCCGCTCCGGCTTCCGGTACTCCCACCCTAAAATTCTATACACCCTTGCCTGAAAACAATAAATGTTGGAGTCAACTTCAACCTCAACTTCTGTCACTGAACAGTAATCATCAAATATCAATAACCAAAATTCAATAGCTTCAATTCATACCATGATAATGTCAAACAGAACTGGCAATAGGTTTACGATCGGGATAAGGAAGAGCGGCAACAAACAAGCGACACAGACCTACGTATACATACATATGTGACTGTAAAAACATATTTGGAAGAATTTATCAACAGCAAGTGTAAATAAGATGATGAATTAGGGTTCGAATTAGTTGAATCGAAGAAATTTCTCAAAGTATCAGAGAATTTTAAACGAATAAAAGAAAATTTACCATCTTTGATTTCTTTGATCGATCTTTGCCGTCGAAGATCTTCTGGGTCTGTATTCAGGCGTGAAGTTTCAACTCATTTTGGAGTCTTTGATAAATCCAGAACAAATACGAGTAATTTACACTTTTCGTCATGTGGTTTGCTATATTTTATTTTATCGTCCCTCTACTTCATTTATTATTAATTTGTCCCTGAATCATATATTTTGTTACATAATTGGTCTGTGCCGCTTAGGGGTGTAAACGAGTCAAGTCTAGTTGAGTAATAGGTTATTTGAACTCAGATCAATAAATTAATACAAGGTTCAAGCTTAAATAACTATTTCAATGTAAGGGTTGAGCTCGATGCTCGTTTATGGTTCAAAAAGAATTCCATTTAAATATCTCATTGTTTTAGTTGAAAGATTTCATTTACTTGAATGCTACTGCGGGTACATGCGAAGAAATGATGAAAAGGGTCTTCATTCAGGTTCTCGTCAAGCAAGTGTCGAACACCCCGTCTTCTCTCCTAGAAATATTGTTTACACGAGCTTTAGTAAGCCTATCCCGCTAACATCCTATCGCCTGCCTGCCATTACGCTTGCTGCCAAGCCATCTCCGACTCCTTGAACGAACTTGCGATCAATTAACTCGTTTATTGGCTTGAGCTTGATAATTTTTATATTTTTATTGTATGATTAATAAACATATGAGCATGTTTGCTCGAAAAAGTGTATCATCAAATGTCTAGGCTTGGTATCACTCGACTCAAAAAATTTAATCGAGTTTTCGAACAAGTCGAGCCGAAAATTGGTGTTATGAAGCTCTGCCCGTTAAATTAAACGAGTTTTATTTTGTGTTCGAGATCAAGAATTATTAAGCTCGAGCTTGAGATAAACGAGTTCAACCTCTAGTAGTTCATTAAAAAATCGAACTGTTTACACACCTAAATTTACCACTAGTATAGTCCGTCTTTTGTCCGTTACATAAAATATAACGTGGCAACAACGTGTCAGTCGGTAATAATGTGAATTTTGTTACCACAAATCATATACAACAAATGAGTGCAAATTCAGTCCAAAAATTCAAAATTACAAGACCCATATGGTCTTCAAAAACCGGATACCAGAAAGTGATTGTTCTATATCAAAAATCCTAAATATAAATCAAATCGAGATCGTTTCAAAATTTCTAAACTAAGGGTTGTTTATCAGACACTTAATTGGGTAAGTGAACACCAAGTCATTTTATCTTTCCGGATGAATATGGTAAGGAAAGAATCTTACCCGGTAAAAGCGAGACAATGACCAAGAGTCTTACCCGGTAAGTAAAGGCGACGACTCTTACCACGGTAATTGTTGCATACAATGCCGTTTTGGTGGACTAAAATCTTATCTGATAAGTAAATGATAGTGTTAAATTTACCGATAAGCGCTTACCGGATAAATGTTTGGTAAGCGAGTCCTAAATAAATTAGTGGGTATGTTCTTGGTGTGCTAAATCGAAAGTTGTATTAATGGTAATACCCTATCCATGGTGTTCTCTCTAATCTCTCCTTCAACACCAATATTCTTTCTCTTCTGCTCATTTAACTTCTTTCTCATTGGGTTGAAGAGATAAAATTATGTATTTTTATGCCTTTGATCTTCAATTTCGATCATCACAATCATGGTACAACGCTTGAATTTCAGGAGGAAAATGAAAAACGTCTTAGGAGATGGCAACGTAGACCGATGAGATACGTAAACACCACCTTAAACTACCATCACCTCTATTCCAAATGGTGAAAGTGCTATCTCATGCCGGGGGCATGTGATCAACTTTAACGGCAGGAATATAAACGATGTATGTAGTAAGAACGAAATCTATATTAAAATGCATCATTTAAGAATGAATTTGTAATAAATGAAGTGGAGTGACGAAAATAAAAGAAAAAAATCAACAAACCACATGGACAAATCTGTAATTTACTATACGAATATCTAATCCCCAACGTTTTGTTCTCGAGTTTCTTTTTCCGAAGGAAAGGGAGGATAGGGAAAGTAAGAGGGAAATAAAAAAAAGGAAATCATCTCAAATTACCAATTCCCTTGTCTAAATTGGTATTCTAACCATCTCTCTTTTTGTGTGATCCAAATGTCACTACATCCACAATATTCAGATTCCCAAGCTAAAAGGCAAAAAAAAGTTCAAAAATTCAACCAGTTTACTGGCGCCATTGCGGACCTGGTCGTCTTAATTGCATATTTGTGTTCAGTTTGAATTTTTTTTTTGCCCTTAAGATAGGTCTGCAATATTGCGGAAGTAGTGACATTTGGGTCAACCCGAGAGAGAAATTGCTAGAAAACCAATAAGAATGAGGGAAATGTTCATTTAACTCAAAAGACTTGGAAAAAAAATCATGTGTTCAGAAAAAAAAAATGTGTTCTCGAGTTCTTTTTAAGAACGGGAAAGAAGGAAAAATGAAGAAAAATAATGTTGATTTTTTTTTAAACTTTTCTCACACGTTCCGGAGGAAAGAAAATGAAATAATTAAAACAACTAAAAATATTTTATAAAATTACGCATCTACCCATCAATTAGAATCTGCTGTAAAATAAGTGAAGGCATAGTTTATAAAAATTACATTTTTTTCCTTTCTCTTTCACTCAAAAACATAAAAATTTATTTTGTTTCCTTTATATAATTTCACTCTAAAAAAATAAAAATCTTTTTTTTCTTCTATACATTCCCCTTAATTTCTTTCTTTCCAAACTCAAAAAAGGGCAAAATATGTGGTCAAATTCAAAGTTATCTTGAGCTATGCATGTTATCCAAGTCCCTTGATTGCCACTTTTTAATATATATACTTGAAATGCCACTTTTTAATACATATATTTGAAATCATGTGAGACCAAAGGTTTTTGTAAGATTCGTAAGAATAATTCTTAACTCTTGGATTAGATCTACAATATAAACATTCATAATCATAAAATTGCCACGAAACTTCTCAATAATCACAAAATTGCCACCGTGCAACTTTAGACCATTAGATCATTAGCTTATAAAGTTGATCAATGAACATAAATTGGTCTTACGG